TTTCTACCCTCAAAAGAAAGGACACACAGACATAGCCACATGCAATATGAGTGTTATAGAAAGACATTTGCTGAGGTAAGCTCAGACAGGAGGGAGTGGTCAACTGTATCTGGGGTCAACCAGAAGTAAAAGGAGCCGTAAGCAAGAAAGAACTCGCCAGATGGAGGGAACAGCATGTGAAAAGACCCTGGTGTTTGAAACAGCCCAGAGAACCTATCAAAAAAACCTTAAGAACTTCTGTGTAGTTGGAGTAAAGCGAAGAGACTGTCTGGGACCTGTGTTGTGCGTTCACACACCAGCGGGGGATAGTGTCTTATCCCAGCATTGTTCTTGGGACAAAATAGGAGGGGCTGGAGGGGAGACCCTGTGTCCAGGGGGACGAGGAGGGCACAGAGGCCTAGACAGAGGCAGAGGGACGGGGCGGGGCTGGGAGCTCTCACACTGGAGCCTCCACTTCCTCCTCCTCCCTTCCCAGCCTGACCTGTGGCCTCACCTTTGAGCTGGGAAAGGGGAAATTCTGCCATTTAAAGTCCAGCAGGTAGGAGGTCCAGGGTTGGGACAGCCGGTTCCGTCTGGTCTCTCACAGTGTCTACAGACATGGCCAGGTCTGGTGGGGGCCTCAGGACCTGGGGGAGCCTGGTGCTGCTGGTGAGTGCTCCCAGCCTGGTGGAGTGGGGTCTCAGGGAGGGATGGGAGGAAGGCCACTTCTGGGTCTAAGAGATGGGGGAACGGAGGTCCCTGAACTCAGGTCCTGAAAGCGTAAGGGCTGATGATTCCTGGAAGAAGGAAGCAGGTGTCTGGGTTGCGAGAGATTGTCAGGGAGTCTTACACCTAGGCTTTTAGATATTGCAGTGTCTGCGGTGAGAGTAAACCCTGGTTTACAAAGACCCAGCAGACCTGGCCTCCAGCCCCTCCTCCCTCAGACCCAGGAGTCCAGACCCCCAGCCCCTTCTCCCTCAGTCAGAGCCAGGAGTCCAGACCCCCAGCCCCTCTTCCCTCAGACCCTTCTCTCTCAGACCCAGAAGTCCAAACCCTGGCCTCTCCTCCCGCAGACCCAGGAGTCCAGACTCTGACCCCTTTCTCCTCAGACCGTGTATTTGGCCTCTGGTCCCCAGCCTCAGTCTCTTCCCTGTTCCTAGTTTGTTGATTACTTTTCTATCTAGTTTTTCAAGGCCATAACTTTACAGGAAGTGAAACCATGAAGTTTATCTCTCAGCCTTATCAGTGGAGCCAACGCCAGCTTCTGTGTCCCAGGAGCCCCGCACCTGCCGCCCCCAACACACACACACACACACACACACACA